GCATTATCTCATTTAACATTAATAACTTCATAATGGCAATGCAGTTATTATCTGCATTTTACAGCTTGTGAAAGAAGGCTGAGAAGTCACTTTGCTTGCTCGAGGTCAAAAATTAATGACTAGCATATCCTAGCATAGTTCTCTCTGAGTCTTGAGCTCAAAGGCTTAATTTCCCCATTCTATAATCTCTTGGAAAATCTCTATTCCATGTAGTGTCTCCTAAGAGAGATAAGATACTTTTGGGATGAGAAGTTAAATCTGGATTTGTGCTCTCATGGTGGCAAATATAAGTGATATAGAAGTTTGCAAAAGCCAAACTTTCTGGATCATACTGTGATTTTGGGAGAGGCTGACCCAGTGCATTGGCTATATCAGGTTTGGAAGATAATTTAGCCACTCTTACTTTCCAGCTAGAAATATGAAACAATCAGATGAGAGCACAGGGTGTCTCTGATTTCTAGGACACCTTCTCAGGTGAGTTCAGCAGCTCAATGCCTTCTGAGTCCCTCCTGCACAGGCTCCTCCCCAAGGTCTGGTGGGAATTGGAGACAATTAGTCTGCTTTGTTCTTTCCTTAACCAGGGACTTAGGGATATTTTCTGAGTCATCTCTGTTGTTTGTAAAATGGTATCCTCCTGCCTACTGCTCTGGAGCTACAGGACAAACATTTAAAGATCAGGAGGCCCTGGGCCTATAGAGGCTCACTTGTTACTTTTTTGTTCCTGGTGTCTTCAGCAGAAGCTAAGGACTCAGAAAACTGTTTGGATTAGCAGATTACTGAGCTCACCAAGGACTGGCAGGTGTCAGAGTGGGCTGGGAATTCTAGGTGAGCAATGAGCCTCTCTGTGTCTAGAGGTCCGCATATATATTCCATGTATGTTCCATATGTATTCTGTGTGGTGTTTCTTTACATGTTTAGTGGAGGTATATGTATCTTTTCTTCATGAATCTTGTCTTTGTGTGTGTGTGTGTGTGTGTGTGTGAGTGTGTGATATGTAATTAACTCCCAGCCTGATTCGTTTTCTTTCTAGACCTAGCATATATAATTCTAAATAGGTTCACATTAAACAAGAGTAGGCCATTTCTGTATGTGTTTTAGGATCTTCTAATTAGTCCCTTTGATTTCAAATATTTGCCCCATATCATAGTTAAGTAAATATGAAATGTCCTGCTCCAGATTGGAGAGTCTGAAGAGAGATAATTGTATTCAGTAATCTGGAGCAGAACTTTTCTACATTTATTCATGACCAGCCATAGGAAAGACGTCTTGCAATCTCCACTCAGAGATGTGGGCTGCGTGATCTTGTGTTTTGTTTATGAGTTGTTTTCATGTGTGATTGCATGTGTTTGAAAGAGGGTGGTGTGTGTGCGCATGTGTGTGTGTGTTTGATATTTGTTTTAGTTGTAGGTAATGTGTAGGTGCTGGTGCCTGTGAGTAAAATGGGCCCTGGTGACTCATTGACTGACCACCTTCACCTGTGCTGAGTTCAGGTCAGTGGGTGCCGGAAACATATTCTGCAAAGAGAGTGCATGTGTGTGATCACATGTGTTGTTGCTGCCTGACTGGGAAGAGGCATGTGTGTACAATTGGTATTTTTTTAAAAAAATTTTTGTATGATATGTTTGACCCTGTGTTTTTGTTGCTTAGTATGTGTGTTTGATTGTGTGAGTCTATATTCAGAGTATGAGTTTATACATCTGATTTGTGATTTTTATATGCTGCTGGTAGTATTATGTTTATGTTAAAACCAAACAAGTGTTTGTGTGTGGTTGTGTGCATTTTTTGTGTTTTGTTCATCAAACCTTGTGTATTATTTATGAGTTGTGATTTTATGACTCTTTGTTTAACTGTCCTTTCCTTAGGATCACTGTAGATCACAAGCGGCAAGAAATCACTAATCAGCAATTTAAGTGTGTGCATGTGTAGGTGTCTGTGTGTGTTTCATGTGTATGTTTTAGGGGCTTCTTGATGGCCCCTATAAATTCAAATGTTTCCTCAACTGTCTTTCAACAGTGGTCATATTTCTACATTGGGCAGGTAGGCTCATGTGTATTTTCACCAATGGGCAGCTCTTATCCAAAGGATAAGAGCTCATTGTCTGTAGTAAGTCAGACTTGAGCCCAATCCTAAGTCTGGCTCTTGTACATGTTTGTCACCTTGGGAAATGACCTCGTCTCTCTGAGATCCAGATTCCTCACTGGTAATTGAAAGGTAATTATTAGTACTTTCTAATGGTATTATGAGGAATAAATGAGACAATATACACAAATTATTCAGCACCATGCCTGACACTTGGTGCTTACGTGAAACGAGGTATTTGTGTTTCCTCAAATCCAAAGTTTGTGTCATAGAAATTCCTTATTTCACCTCTCTCTAGGGAAGGTCAGATAACAGAAAAAACGGGCCCATCCAAAGGCTTTCCCTGATAATTCAACGTCGTGTCCTGTTCACATCTCATGGGCCCAGCTTTCTCCTTCATGCAGCGTCCTGCCTGGATCAAGATTCCTGGTTGGTCTGCTCCCTGATTTTCTTCTGGTTGAGCACTGGCACAGCATATTCCAGTGAGCTGCCAGGCCTCCATGTGTGGATCCAGACAGTGACCTTCTGGGTGGCCATGAGCAGAGGTAACCTGTGCCCCTGAGCAGGTACATGGTCCCTAAGAGGACTGGTTGTCTTGCTTCTATTCTGGAGTAAGGACAACCGTCTTTATTCTCGCATCAGGGGTATGTGTTTTGTAATCCTAAACTCTAACCCAAATTCTCAAAGAAATATGGAATCTGACTGGAGTAAGGTGATATCTCAGTGTGGTTTTGATTTGCATTTTCCAAATGATAAGTGATGTTGAGCATTTTTTCATGGACCTGTTGGCCATTTGTATGTCTTCCTTTAAGAAATGTCTATTCAGCTCTTTGCCCATTTTTAATCAGATTATTTGTTTGTTTGCTTGTTTGTTGTTAATTTGTTTGAGTTCTTTGTGTATTCTGGATATTAATCACTTGTTGGAAGCGTAGTTAGCAAATATTTTCTCCTATTCTGTAGGTTGACTTTTCACTCTGTTGCTTGTTTCCTTTGCTGTGCAGAAGATTTTTAGTTTGATCTAGTCCCATTTGTTCATTTATTCTTTTGTTTCCTATGCTATTGGGGACTTATTCATAAAGTCTTTGACCAGTCCTACATCCTGAAGTGTTTTCTTCTTGGAGTTTTATAGTTTCAGGTGTTATACGTTACTCTTTAATTCATTTTGAGTTGATAGAGAAATATCACATATCCTCACTCATAGTGGGTATGAAAGAAAGAAAGAAAGACAGAAAGAAAAAGAACAATCATAACAATACTTTGAACTTTCAGAAGGAAATAACAAAACTATTGTTTCTAGAGGTGTGAAAAGGGAAGGGGAAGGGATATACCAAGAGATGGGTTAATAGACACGAAACAGCTAAGTAGGAAAAATAAGTTCTATTGATGTACAGCTGACCTAGGGACCTATAATTAACAATAATTTGCATCATGTTAGCAGGTTACCAAATGACTAGTAGAGAGGAGAGCAAGTCTCCTCAATACAAAGAATTTATTACGTTCTGTAATGATGAATACACTAATTATCCTGACTTGATCTTCGCACATTGTACACAGGTATTGACACTCATTTCTGTACCCCACAAATATGTATAATGAATTACATTTCAATCAAAAAAAAAGAAAATGCTAAAAGAAAAAAAAGAAAGAAATGTTGCATCTGGAATTCACTGTCGAACAGCTAAGTGACCTCAAGTCAGTCTTTTTATCTCTTTTCCCTGATTTTCTTCCTTACACCTATGAAATAAAGGATGTGATATGTGTCTTATATAACATGCCTCTAAATATATATTTATTGTTTGAGAGAAGTTAAAGCATACAAAATTCTTTTCTAAATTGTGTGATGTATAAATGCAAATGGTAATTTTTTCTAAGTAGGGAGCTATGAACTTTTTTGACAAATATAAAATACAGCTTCTTTGAATATTCTAACTGATAGGGGACTTGATTTCTATTCAGAGCATGAATTCTGGCCACGTAGACATATATTGTGATTTCATTTGTTTTAGTTAATTACACATTTAATACTGTAAGTTTTTGTTTTCTTATTGTTAAAATTAGTGTAATAATACCCATTTATTAGGACTATGGTGAAGACTTATTTAGAAAGTATGTGTAAAACATGTAGAATAGTTACTAGAACTATTATTAATGCTGGTTTGGAAACTTGAATTGGACACTTTTGGTGACAGCAAATTTTAAATGACTCAAAACAGGCAGAACCAAGCCATTACACTATAATGCTGTGAGAAATGTTTAGTAATTCTGCTCTAACTTGGGAGGTTTCAACTTCCTTTTAAAAGAAAATAACTGATAAACACCATTTCATTCTCTATTTGTATATGTATTGACTTTTTATTTTTTTAAGATTCCACATACAAGTGAGATTGCACAGTAATTTCCTCCTATGTCTGGCTAAGAGAGGCTAAATTATGCTGCATAAAATAAAATAAATAAATATCACTCTGCAGCTTAAAATAAAAAAAAATAACTGATGGCTGATTTCTGGTACCCACTTCACATTTCAATCATCGTAAATTGCTGAGGGTTGAATCTGGCCTGATGTAAAGATGTAAACTTGAATGCAGAGACTTTGCATATCTTGTTCATTACTAGGTACTCATGTACTTGGTAGTTAGTGTAGGATCTGGGACAAGGATCTCGGTACATAAATACATGTCCAATAAGGAATTAATTGCCTTTTGATTCTTTTGGGAAAAGACATGGTTAATGAGACGGTTGGAGGTATCATCAGAACTGGAAAGGGACAGACGTGTGGTTCACGGACCAGTAAATGTGAAAAAAAAAAGAGAAGTGTAGCTAAATTTAAGACTTTTCATACTAAAAGGACATTACTATAATGTTATGTCCATGTTCACTGACATTTTTCGCTTCCACCAGTTCCCAGCAGAGAGAAGAGCAGCATGAGGAGGGAGAACCAGAGCAGCGTGTCCCAGTTCCTCCTCCTGGGGCTCCCCATCCGGCCAGAGCAGCAGGGCGTGTTCTTCACCCTGTTCCTGGGCATGTACCTGACCACGGTGCTGGGGAACCTGCTCATCATCCTGCTCATCAGGCTGGACTCTCGCCTCCACACCCCCATGTACTTCTTCCTCAGCCACTTGGCCCTCACTGACGTCTCTATCTCATCAGTCACTGTCCCTAAGATGCTGATGGACATGCAGACTAAGAAAAGATCAATACCCTATGTGGGGTGCATTTCTCAGATGTATTTTTTCATACTGTTTGGCTGTCTTGACAATTTCCTTCTTGCAGTGATGGCATATGACAGGTATGTGGCCATCTGTCACCCACTCCACTACATCTCTGTCATGAAGGAGGAGCTGTGTGTCTTACTAGTAGCTGGGTCCTGGTTCGTCTGTTGTGTCCACGCCCTGTTTTACACCCTTCTTCTGGTACAGCTATCCTTCTGTGCTGACAATACCATCCCCCACTTCTTCTGTGACCTCGCTGCCCTCCTGAAGCTGAGCTGCTCAGACACCTCCCTCAATGAGCTGGTCATCTTCACTGAGGGAGGAATCCTTTTTATCTTGCCTTTAAGTAGTATCTTGTGCTCTTATATCCGAATAGTAACCACTGTCCTGAGGGTCCCCTCAACTAAAAGGTTCTTTAAAACCTTTTCTACCTGTGGATCCCATCTGTTTGTGGTGTCTTTATACTATGGGACACTTGCAGGTGTTTACTTTTTCTCTTCATCATGGAACTCCAATGACAAGGACATAATTGCTTCTGTCATCTATACAGTAGTTACCCCCATGCTGAACCCGTTCATCTACAGCCTGAGGAACAGAGATATAAAACAGGCATTAGAAATATTTGTCAATAACGCTAACTTCTTTAAGTGACAGTCACTAAACCCTCTTATTTCATTCATGAGAACTGTGAGATATAGTTCCTAAAATTATTGTATGGCTGGCAACTCTGTATAGTTGTAAAATAGTACATATTCTGCTGTTATGTACAGTGTTCTTAACATGTCAACTAGATCAAGTGTGTTACTTGGGTCGTTAGATCTTTATCCTTAATTAATCTTTGACTGCTTATTCATCATCTCTCATATGTGGAAAATCTTATGCAAAACATGTTGCATCATTATAAATATGGAATTCTGTTTTTTCTCCTTTTGCATAGCAATTCTCACTTGTATATATATATTTAAACCATGTTATTGAGGACACATAGATTTACCATTCTGATCTACTCTTCATGGACTGACACTTTCATGTAGTGGTGTGCTGAATCTGTCTTGCATCATCTTCAAGCTGATTGTGCACATCTCTTCTCAACCCCACAGTCAGTGACAACGTGCCAGTAGCTTGAAATCAACCATGGTGGGAATTATTACACTGTGGAAATTGGAAAATGCAACAGACAAGGATCCCCCACTATAGAAAGCCATTTGTTTTTCATTTAGCAGCACCATTGCATTTATAATTAGGAGATATTTCTCTTCGTCCCTATTGATGGCACCCCCCTTAACATCTCATCTATGTCATCTGAAATTAGTATAAATATAACAGATTTGGGCAGGGTTAATGTTTACACAATATATTTTTTCCACCATTTTACTTTAAACCATTCTATGTCCTTATATATATGATGTGTCCACTGTAAACAGTGTAAAGTTGGGTTTTGCTCTTTAATGTGGATAGACAATCATTACTTTTCTGAAGAATTTAATGTATTTATATTTAATGCAATCATAATATATTTCAATTTATATTTTCCATATTCTATGTTTTATATTTCAGACATTTTTCATATTTTTTCATGCTTTTCTATCCTCTCTTTTTTCATTTTGATTAATTAAATATGTATTTGTGTTACTATATTCTCTTATTAAGTTGTGAATCATACATTATTATTATTATCCTATTCTTTTCTTGTGCTCTGTATAGAGATTACTTCCTGTTTTCTCTTTAAATTGTTCTCTTTTTTAACTGTGCAGAAGCTTTTTAGTTTGATATAATCTCATTTGATCATTTTTCCTTTTGTTGCCTGTGCTGCAGTCATATTCATAAAGTCTTTGTCCAGTCTTTCTTCCCAAAATGTTTCCCCTAAGTTTTATTTCAAGAGTTTTATAGTTTCAGGATGTATATTTAATTTTTTACTCCATTTTGAGTTGATTTTGATATATGGTGAAATGTAGCAGTCTAGTTTCATTCTTCTACATAAGGGTATCCACTTTTTCCAGCATCATTTACTGAAAAGGCAGTCTTTTCCCCAATGTATGTTCTTGGTGGCTTTGGTGTGGATCAGTTGGCTGTAGGTTTACGAGTTGATTTCTGGGTTCTCTATTTTGTTCCATTGGTCTGTGTGTCTGCTTTCCAGCCAGTACCATGCTGTTTTTGTTATTGTAGCTTTGTAGTACTATTTGAAGCCAGGTAGTGTTATGCCTCCTGCTTTATTTTATTTTACTTTATTTGCTCAGGATTTCTTAGGCTATTCAGGGTCTTTTTTTGCTCTATATGAATGTTGGGATTGCTTTTTCTATTTCTGCCCAGCAAAAGAAACAATTAACAGAGCAAAAATAAAATGTAGTGAGTGGGAGAAAATATTTCACACTATGTATCTGACAAAGGATTAATATCCAGAATATACAAAAACTTAAACAACTTAATAGTATAAAAACAAGTAATGCAATTAAAATGTGCAGAGGAGCTGAACAGGCACTTCTCAAAGGAGGATCTATGAATAGCCAACAGACAGATGAAAAAATGCCGAACATCATTCAGCAACCAGGAAATGCAAATCAAAACTGCATTGAGATATCATTTCACTCTAGTCAGACTGGGTATTATCTTGAAGACAGAGAACAACAAATGCTGATGTGGAGAAAGGAGAACCTTCCTACATTGTTGGTGGGACTGTAAATTAGTTCAGCCATTATGCAAAATGGTATGTAGTTTCCTCAAACAACTACGGATAGAACAGCCATATGATCCAGTAATTTCACTTCTGGATATGTATCCAAGGTATGGAATTCATCTTGTTGAAGGGGTACCTGCATTCCCATGTTTATTACAGCTCTATTTAGCCAAGAGTTGGAATCAATCTAAATGTCCATTGATGGACGACTGCATAAGGAAAATGTGGTATATATACACAATGGAATTCTACTCTACTATAAAATAATAAAATACTGCTATTTCCAGCAACGTGGATACACTTAGAGAAAATCATGTTGAGTGAAGTAAGCCAGGCACAGAAAGTGATATGTCCTCACTTGTAAGTGGGAGCTAAAAAGCAAAAAGAAAAAATGAAATAATGAAAGAAAGATATAACAATCACAATGATACTTTGAACTTCCAAAAGGAGAGAACAGAACTCAGGTTACTAGAGCTGGGAAAGGGGAAATGATGGAGAGGGTAAAGGAAGAATTGGTAAAGGGCCAACAAAAGTGATTACATTGTGTAATGCTGAATATCCAAATATCCTGATTTGAGCATCCCAAATTGCACACAGGTGTTATTATCCAACTCTGTACTTCACAGATATGTACAATCAAGTGTATTACAATAAAACAACAACAAAAACCAGAAGTGAACAATATCTCCCCAAATAGAGAATATCAATAAAGAGATGGAAATTATAAAAAGCCAAATAGAAATTTCAGAGTACATCTTTCATTCTTCACTTATTAGTGTCTAATGCAACTTATCACACTTTCCCTTTATAAAATAACTGTAAAACCATTAAAAACTTTATGTCTAGTAAACCTTCTCCTATAATTTGCCTTATTGTTTTCATGCATTTTAATTTTACCTATACTTAAGTCTCCACAATATGTGACTATAAGTATTTGTGTGGTCCGTATTTATTATTTTATTGTTACTTTTACTATTTTTCTTTTTCCTTACGTTCTTTTATATCTCCTTTTTCCCGCTGGGGACATTTCCCCTTTGTCTAAAGAAACCTGTTTATTATTTGTTTTAGGGTGGGTACGTTGATGACAAGTTCTTTTATTCAAATTATTTCAAATATATGATATAAGAATAGCTACCTGCCCATTTTGGGTTTCCATTTGAATGGTAAATGATTTTTCATCCTTTCACTATTAGTTTATGTGTGTCTTTATGGGTGAGGTGAGTCTCTTGAAGACAGCGTATAGACGGGTCTAGCTTTTTAATTCAATCAGCCAGTCCATGTCTTTTGAGTGGGGTATTTAATCCATTGACATTTAGGGTTGTTATTGAGAGGTACTGTTTTACTCCTGTCAGTTAATTGTTTTTCCTATGGTTGATTTAAATATCTTTCACTCCTTTCTTTCCCTTTCATTGTTTGTCTTGTTTTCATTGTTTTTTTTGTGGTGAGATGGTATATTTTCTTTCTCTTTCTCATTTGCATATCTCCCCTACCAGTGGTGTTTGTTCTTTCTAGTGTATTCATGGTGGCTATTATGGTTTTTGAGATTCCAGGTGCAGGACTCCCTTAGGGGTTTCTTGTAGAGCTGGTCATGTGATGTTGAACTCCTGCAGTTTCTGTAAATTATGTAAATTATACCTAAATAATGTTGATTTTAAAACAAGATAGACTGAAGAACAGTTAAATGCATAAGTGTTAAAGCAAGTATAATAAAGTTTTAAAGATTAAATGTAGATAGCTGGTATTCAGTTGTACACTATAAAATTCTTTCAACTTTGCTTTATGCTTGAAATTTTTCATAATAAAATTTGGAGGAAAAAGACTGAAACTACTAGTTTTGTCAAGAATATGGAGAACACCAACTAGCTAGTTCATTACTGGAGTATAAAAATACTACTGATTTTGGGGTGTTGATTTTGTGTCATGCAATATTACTGAAACTGTTAATCAGCTCTAAAATTTATTTTTTTGGTAGAACCTATAGGTTTTTCATTATATGAAATCTTGTCATCTGCAAACAGGGGCAATTTGACTTCATCCTATCCAATCCGGATGCCCTTTATTTCTTTCTCTTGCCTGATTGCTCCAGCTAGTACTTCCAATACTATATTAAATAGGAGTAGTAGGAGTGAGCATCCTTATTTTGTTCCTGCTTTTATCAGAAAATCTTTTAGCTTTTCCCTATTCAAGATGATATTGGAGATTGATTTGTCATAATGGCTTTCATTGTGTTGAGAAAATTTCCTTGTATACCTCATTTGTTGAGAGTCTTTATCTTGAAGGGATGTTGAATTTTGTCAAATGTTTTTTTCTGCATCTATTGAGATCATCATATGGTTTTTGTTCTTGGTTTTGTTTCACATTAATTGACTTGCATATGTTGGACCATCCCTGCATCCCTGGGATGAATCCCATTTGATTGTGGTGTATAATTTTTTTGATGTATTGCTGTATTCTGATTGCTAATATTTTGTTGAGGATTTTTGCATCTATGTTCATCAAGGATTTTGGCCAGTAATTTTCTTTTTTTGTTGTATCTTTATCTGGTTTTGTATCAGGGTGATGCTGGCCTCATGGAATGTGTTTGGGAGAATGGCTTCTGTTTCAATTCTTTTGAATAGTATGAAGAGAAGTGGTAATTAATTCTCCTTTAAATGTTTGATATAATTCAGATGTAAAGCTATCTGGTCCTGGGCTTTTCTTTGTTGGAGGATAGCTGATTACTGATTCAATCTCATTGCTTGTTATTGGTCTGCTCTGGTTTTCTATTTCTTCTTGGTTCAGTCTTGGTAGATTGTATGTGTCCAGAAATTTATGAATTTCCTCCAGGTTTTCATATTCATTGGCATACAGTTGTTTGTAATAATCTCTAATGATTCTTTGTATTTCTGTGGTATCAGTTGTAATGTCTCCCTTTTCAATTCTGATTTTTGATATTTGGGTCTTCCTTCCTTTTTTTTTTTTTTTTTGTTAGCCCAACTAATGGCTTGTCTATTTTATTTGTCTTCTCAAAAAGCAACTTTTTTGTTTCGTTGATCTTTTGTATCATTTTGGGGTCTGTATTTCATTTAGTTCTGTCCTGATATTAATTATTTCTTTCCATCTACTATTTTTAGGATCAGATTGTTGTTGTTTTTCTAATTCTTTCAAGTGCAGAGTTAGGTTGTTTATTTGAAGTCTTTCCGTTCTTTAGATATGTTTATTGCAACTAACTTCCATCTTTACAGCTTTTGCAATATCACAAAGGTTATAGTATCATGTATTTTTATTTTTGATAGTTTCAAGAAATTTTTTGATTTCCTTTTTAATTTCTTCTTGGACCCATAGGTCATTCAGAAGTCTATTGTTTAGCTACCATGCACTTGAATAATTTCCAGAATTTTGCTTGTTATTGATCCCCAGTTTTAATCCATTATGATCTGAAGAGATACTTGGAATGATTTCAATTTTTAAAAATTTCCTGAGACTTGATTTGTGACCTAACATTTGGTCTATCCTGGAGACTGTTGCATGTGCTGATGAGAAGAATGTATATTCTGTAGTTGTTGGATGAAATGTTCTGTAGATGTCTGCCTGGTCTGGTTGGTCAAAGACATAGTTTAAATCCTGTGTTTCTCTGTTGATTTGCCACCTAGAAGATTGGTCCAGTGCTGAGAGAGGGATGTTGAGGTCACCCACAATTATCATATTAGAGTTTATTTCTTTTTTATGTCAAAGAGTGTTTGCCTTACATATCTTGGTGCTGCAGTGTTGGGTGCATACATATTTACGATTGTTATATCTTCTAACTGGATAGATCCCTTTATTATTATGTAATGGCCTTCTCTGTCTGTTTTTATGATTTTTGGTTTGAAGCCTATTTTATCCAATATAAGAATAGCTACTCCTGCTCATTTGGGGTTTCCATTTGCATGGTATATCTTTTTCCATCCCTTCAGTTTTAGTCTGTGTGTGTCTCTATAGGTGAAATGGGTCTCTTGAAGACAGCATATAGTTGGGACTAGCTTTTTAATCCAATCAGTCAGTCTGTGTCTTTTGAATGGGGAGTCTTTTTAATCCAATCAGTCAGTCTGTGTCTTTTGAATGGGGAGTCTTTTTAATCCAATCAGTCAGTCTGTGTCTTTTGAATGGGGAGTTTAATCCATTCACATTTAGGGGTGTTATTGACAAGTATTACTTTACTCCTGCCATTATATTGCTTTTTTGTTTAGATATTTTAAATGTCATTTGTTCCTTTCTTCATCTTTTATTTTTCATCTTCCCTGTTAGTTAGATTTTTAACAGGACATGATTTAGATTCTTTCTTTTTTTTATTTTCATTTTGGTTTTAATGGTAGATATTGCTCTTTCTTATAAATCCATGATATTGATTATCATTTTTCAGATTGTGGAGCAGAACTTTTTTGAGTATTTCTTGCAGGGATGGTCACATAGTAGAGAACTCCCATGATTTTTGTTTGTCTGGGAAATACACTATGTCTCCCTCATTTATGAGGGATAGCCTTGCTGGGTATAGAACTCTTGGCTGACAATTTTTTTCTTTTAGTATTTTGAATAGATTTTCCCATTTTCTTCTGGTCTGTAAGGTTTCAGTTGAAAATTCTGCTGTTAGTCTGATGAGGGCTCCCTTATCACTGACTTGACACTTTTGCTGTTTTTAGAATTCTCTTTTTGTCTTTGAGTTTTGCCAGTTTGACTGTAACATATCTTGGAGATGTACTTTTGGATTGAAACTGTTTGGGGGTCTTTGGGCTTCCTGGATCTGAAGGTCTGCATCTTTCCATATAACTGGGATGTTTTCTATTATTATTTCCTCTAATAGGTTTTTTAATGCCTTTCCCATTCTCCTCCCCTTCTGGAATACCCATTTTTGGGATGTTTGTGTGCTAAAGTTGTCTGCTAGCTCTTTTAGATTTTCCTCATTGTTTTGAAGTCTTTTTTTCTTTTTCTTTCTTTCTTTCTCTTTGTTTCTTTGTTTCTTTCTTTCTTTGTCTGCCTGGGTTATTTCAAAAAGACCCTCTTCAAAGTCTGAAATTCTTTCTTCTGCTTGGTGTCTCCTGTTTCTCAAGCTTTATGTTCTGTTTTTTTTTTATTATTATTATTCATTGAGTGGATTCTTCATTTCTAGGAATTTTTTTACATTCTTTTTAAAGGTATTAATCTCTTTGTAAATTTTCTCCTCCATATCCTGGATTATTTTTCTTTCATTGTATTCTCTAGTTAAGTCTTCTGTTATTCTTTTGAGTTTTCTTAAGATCATTGCTTGGAATTCCTTTTCAGACACTTCAAGATTTTCCTGCTGCATGGAGCCTGGTACTTTTTACCATATTCCTTTGGTGGTATCATATCTTCTTGTTTGTTTGTAGCTCTAGTATGTTTTTCATAGATGTTTGGTCATGTGATAGGACACTTATTTCCTCTGTTACTCTGGAGTGAATTCTGAGGGGAAAGACTTCCTCCTGTATTTTCAGGCTCTGCTGGTGACTCTTCTTGTATCAGTTCAGTTGAGTGTATGGTGATTTTTCTTGGATCCTGCTGAGTCGGTGATTGGGCCTTTTCAGGGCTTGGGCATAGGCTAGTGGCTTAAGCAGGGTCAGTGTGCAGTACCAGAAATCACCTGGGCAACCTCTCAGTGGATGGGCATTTCCGAGGCTCAGGCATGGGTCAGCAGCTGTGACATGGTCAGCACATGGGATCAGTATTCACCTGGACACCCATTCATTTGGTTGGCAAGCATCTCTGGGGCTCAGGGGTGGGCCAGTGGCTGCAGTGGGCCAGCACACAGGAATGGCATTCACCTGGGCATCCACTTGGTCAGTGGGTGGGCCGCTCCTAAAGAAATTTTTTGATTTCCTGTTTGATTTTTTCTTGATGCCATAGGTTGTTTAGGAGAAAGTTCTTTCATTTTCACAAACTATTAGCTAGGCTAACTATTAAAAGAAGAAGGAAGGCCAAACAACAAAAATTAGAAATGAAGGTCCAGCCCTGTGGCGCACTCAGGAGAGTGCAGTGCGGGCAACACCAAGCCAAGGGTTGTGATCCCCTTACCGGTCACAAAAAAGACAAAAAAATAAAAAAAGAAAGAAAGAAATGAAAAAGGACACATTATATGTGATACCATAGAAATTCAAAGACTCATTAGAGACTATTATAAACAACTATACACCAACAAACTTGAAAATCTGTAGGAAATGGATAAATTTCTGGACACATAAAAACTATCAGGACTGAACCAAGAAGAAATAGAAAACATGAACAGAACAATAGCAAGCAACAAAACTGAAGCAATAATCAGCAGCTCCCCAAAATAGAAAAGCCCAGGAACAGATGATTTTACTAAAGAATTCTACCAAGTCTTTACACAGGAATTAATACCAATACTCATCAAACTATTCCAAAAAATGGAAACAGAAGACATTCTCCCAAACTTATTCTACAAGGCCAGTATCACCCAAATACCAAAACCAGACTAAGACATAACAAAAAAGAAAACTATAGAGCAATATATTTGATGAACAGAGATGTAAAAATCCTCAAGAAGATATTAGCACATAGAATACAGCAAACATCAAAAAATTGTACATCATGATCAAATGTGATTCATCCCAGGGAGACAAGGATAGTTATGCAAGTCAATAAACATGATACACCATGTCAACAAAATCAAGGACAAAAACCATGTGATTATCCAAATATATGCAAAAAAGCATTTGACAAAATTCAACATCCCTCATGATGAAGACTCTTAGCAAATTAGGTATAGAACCAAAGTATAACAATACAATAAAAGCCATATATGGCAAATCCACAACCAATATCATCCTGAAAAAGCTTTCAGCTTTTCCCTTAAGAACAGGAACAAGACAAGGATGCTCACTCTCACCACTCCTATTTAACATACTGTTTGAAGTACTAGCCAGAGCAATCAGACAAGAGAAAAAAATAAACAGCCTCCAGATTGGAAAAGATGAACCAAGCTGTCTGTTTGCAGGTGACATGATCCTATATAGAGAAAAATCTAAAGACTCTACAAAAAACCCCTTAGAGCTGATAACAATTTCAGTAAAGTCGTAGGATAAAAAATCAACACACAATAATCAGTGGCATTACTATACTCCAACACCAAACTTGCCAACAAATAAATTAAGAGAGCTAGCTCTTTTACAGTAGTTGTTGAAAAAATAAAATACCTAAGAATGAAGTTATTCAAGGAGGTGAAGGATCTTACAATGAGAACTACAAATCACTGTTGAAAGAAATTAGAGAGGACACAAAAAATGGGAAGATATTCCACACTCTTGGATTGGAAGAACTAGCATGGTGAAAATGTCCATACTACTCGAAGCAATCTACAGATTCAATGGAATCTCAAACAAAATACCAATGACATTCTTCACAGAAATAGAAAAAGCAATTCTAACATTCATATAGCACAACAAAATACCCAAAGCAATCCTGAGCAAAACAAATAAAGCCAGAGACATTACACTGCCTGACTTTAAATTGTAGTATCCAAAATAGCATGGTACTGACATTAAAACAGACAGACCAATGGAACAGAATAGAGAACCCAGATCAACCCACATACTTTCAGCCAACTGATCTTTGACAAAGGCAGCAAAAACATGCATCAAGAAAAGACTGCCTTTTTAATAAATTGTGCTGGGGAATTTGGACATCCATATATGGAAGAATGAAACTAGACGTGTACCTCTCACCATATACCAAAGTCAACTCAAAATGGATTAAAGACTTAAATATAAGACCTGAAAATATAAACTCCTGAAAGAAAACAGGGGAAACACTTCAGGAAGTAGGACTGGGCAAAGACTTTCTGAATAAGACCCTAAAAGCACAGACAACAAAAGGAAACTCTTGGATATTTTTTCCCCTTCATGATATATATACACAAAATCCTTGTTTCTTTGTTTTCTCTAGGGTCAGTAAATATATTTGTCCTTCTTGCTTCTCTATCTTGTCATGATTTTGCATTAAAAGTCTGGTTATCTGTAGTGGTTTTTAACTGCTTTTACATGAAGTACTACATTGGTTTACATCAGTATTTGCTGTGATCTCTTTCATAGCCATGTGTGTTTGTTTCTTTTGGAGGCTGCTCTAAGAGAAATTGAGTGCTGGATAATTGGGAAAGAGAGGGAAATAGGCATGTCATACTTCAAAGAGTTCTGACAGGAGGATATTGAATGGTTGGTGAACCCTGTAACTAATGAAGGATAAAATTGGAGTGTGGAGTAAGAATGAGTCCAGATAAACTCACCTGCTGGCAGGATTTTCTGTAACATGTTTGGATTGTACATTCTTCTGTTCAATCTCAATCACGCTGATCCCATTTTCTTATTTTCTCCTACATGTATTTCTTGAAATCTTCCAATCCACTGGTGGCATCTTGTCCCATTGCTAGCATTGCTATAGTTTGATTCTTAATTTCGTGTATTATGTCATTTCAATGGTAGTTTGGAAGGGATATGAAGTAAATATATTGACTCA